TTGGTAGTTAATATACTAGGAACATTTATCTCTTGGTGTTACTAACACTAGACACTTTATTTAGCAACATAATTCTGCTTTTTTCCCCGCAAAGGCCTTTTCTTAAAAATAAAAAATAAAAAACTCACGAATCAGTACAAACAAAAGGGGCTAGACCTTACTTTACCAAACATAATTCTACGTTTACCCTTCTTTAAACTAGAAAAAAAATAAAGGGAGGAGTTAATGTTTCTTTTCTGTATGCAGGAGGTCTAGGACTATCTTTTTAAAACAATTTCTGATTTACCAATTAATTTAAACCAGTCTTTCCCCTTTACCAACTCTACATGTTATGTTAGGACGAAGAAGGCATTTAATTTTTCTGTCTTGGTTCTTTTCTGAGGGAGTTATATGAAAGTTGGAAGAGAGTTAAAGTGTTGTTTCATGAATTATGACTTTAGTACTTAATTAGAGTCGTTTGGTAAAATGTATTAGCGAAAATAATGCATATATGAATTTTGATAGTATATATTAATTCCTTGCTTGGTATAATTTTCTACTATAGCCTATTTAGGTCCTTCAAGATGTTTCAGTTGATTTAGAGGGTGGTCATCCACATAGATGTTCCAGGATTGATCTATCTTCATGTCTTCTAAATTGAGTCATGCCTAGTATAGTTTACGTCCCTTTGTAGTTTGCAGATCATTGTACGGTGACGAACAGAGGTTGTAGCGCAAGCCATTACCCGGTGACTCAGTGATGAACATAGTTATAGCAACTACGTGTATTCTGGAGTTTCCAAAAAAATATAATAACGTACTTGGTATTATCTTATGTATAACTAGTACATTGAAAGTCATGATTTTGGCAATACAAGAGTTTTTGATACACGCATAAACATATTTTTGTGTACAAAGCTAACTATATGGAGGATATATAATTGTAAGCAAACAATTTTAAAAATATCTATTTAATGCATGTTATTTTTAATATACTAAATCAATAAATAAAATGGAAATTATATGGTTAGGCAAATATATAATACTAGTTAATTAGTTATCATAGTCATAGTTTTAGTTAATTACCACTCGAGACCAACATTCAGTGATAATTACGTGGGCTGGGGGTTTTGAGTTTGTATAATTCGCACATTTGTATAATTCAAAAAATTTAATATAATTTGTATGACTTTTTTTGTAATATTTTGTATAATATAATTTGTATAACTATTTAAAGTTCAAATGTTTGTGTTTGTATAAATTCGTTATTTTGAGTTTATACAAAACTAGCTCAATTATACAAGCGTACCCACGAATCTTACAAACGAGACAACGTAAGTTGTAGCTACTCCCAGTAAATATGCAAACCATAGCTACAAAGCATAATTAAATTTATCATAATGACTATTTGCGAAAATTCCCCATAAATAGACAATAACACTAATAAAAATAGTCTCTACATTATTAATTCACTTTATTCAACGAGTTTCATACACTTTATCAAACGACCCCTAAACAAGTCACAAATAAATGTTTAAGTTGTATCTTTGACTTGCCCTCAGTATCGACCCCCACACTAAGGTCTAAAAATCACAAAGCATTAATGCATCACGGATTTTTGTGCCTAATTCACTTAATTAACATCTCTACAAAGCTGTAAAAAGTAGACCAAAACAACTAAGTAGGCTATAGTAGGATGCTGAATATTATAAAATTCACTTAAGGCAAAGTGTATATATATATATGTGTGTGTACTAGTTCTCAGTTATTAAAATTCATTAATTATTGTGTGGACGAAATTAAATCCTTTTTATGTTAATTTTAAAGAAAAAAAACACAGACCTGGAAATTATTTACAGTAGGGGGCTACTACTTGGTTGTATATCATCAAGTTGAATAAACAATTAAAGGATTTTGATGATGGAAATGAATAAACCAATAATAAATGTAATCTAATTATTATAAGTCTGTTCAATAATTCTCAATTTGAATAAATCCTCTCTAGCTCAATTATGCTATCTATATTCCTTCTTTTTTTATAATATGGTCCATGTATACTAATAAATAATTTTTGACCTCACAAGTGCAGGTTCAAAACCTCTTGTTATAGTACCTAAGTAAAGGAGAATACATAATTTAATATGTGTTTTTAAGTAATAATCATCATTTTAAAAGTTACTAACATTTTACCACTTTTTGATATATAGAAAAAAAGTTTTAGATAAAAATGCCCTCAACTAAAACACGGTACAACTCTAGGAAGTATAGTTGGAACTCGAAGGATTGATAAGTACGAATTCTATGATTTCGATCTTTAGATATATCATAATATGTTATTTGATAATTCTTTTAAAATCTGTAAATATACCTAGCATTTGATTCGGCAAGTGAATAATCTTTATACTTTTTGCCCATAAATAGAAATGTGTGAATCAAGATGAGACAATGATGATTTTTTCACAAAATTTTCCTTTTGATTTTACTATTTTCTCCCCTTAATTTTAAAAAAGTGTCTCATTAAATTGTCAATATGCAAATCAAGCAATGACCATATCTACGGCCTCTTAATGATTCAAGGTAGCGAATAGTGAAGGCGATTCAAAACCAACATATATTTTTAACTTTCTTTGGACTTAGTGTGGTGCTATAGGCACGTATACAACGCATTCAAAAATTCTTAGATGAAGTATACTAGAATTTTAGCCCGAAATCAGTAATAATGCATGGATAAAACTTGTAATAATTTATCGGTCCAAGACGAATAAGTATTGCAGCATGCAAAATTGTGTGACCCTAAATAAAAGTGGGCAACCTAATTTTCATAAGAAATGATCTTGCTATCAACTGCAAATATTTAATTAATGACTCAGCGAGATTATTTTGAGTATAAACAAGAACTACATGGTGTTCAACGTTTATCCCAATCAATAGACAATAATTATTAAATGCTTGGAATAAAAACTCTGCAGCATTATCAAAGTGAATAGACTTCATCTGATATCAAAAAATTGTGTTCGTAATCATATTATTTGTACCATTATATTTGCAAACGTCAAGTTGCGAAATGACAAATAGACACACATGAGACATTCGAAGAAGCATATAGGATCATAAAGTATCTAAACGACCCACTTGGTGGGTGAATAGACCCATAAAGATCCCTATGTATACGTTCCAAGAATGCAGGGACTCAATCTCAATATTTGTTGGCGATCATCACACAGTTAACTTTCGTTGATTACATGTAGTACAATAGAATTCATCATTTAAAAGAATCTTCAGGTTCTTTAATGGATGCTCATTTGGGTTTTCTATAATTCGTTTCATCATTATAGATCTAGGATGTCCCAGTCGATCATGTCAAAGTATAAAAGTATTGGACTTAGTATACTTAAAAATGACTATAGTTAAAAATAAAGATAAATTAGGAACTAAATGATAAATTATCTCTTGATTTTCTAAATTCCACAAGTAAAAATGAATATTTATTTTTAATATAGTGAACAAATCACAAATGAAAGTGGACGGAAGGAGTAACATATTGGGATTCAATTTTATGCAACAGAGGTCACCCTCCTGTTAATTTGGAAATATATGCTTATGTCATTGTTATTCTCTTTTTTTTGTAGGTAGCGCTTACCCATAAAATGGAATTTCTCTATACAAATGCCAAATTTTTTAATTTCAAAGCAAATATCGAATATCGAATGAATATTTTTTTTTGCAATTTTGGGTGAAATATGTACTGTACAGGTTTGAGATGCCCCTGTCCATCTTCTTTTCTTTCCCATTTGGGCCTCCTCCTTTTGTTTTTCAATTTGGGCCTCCTTTTCAATAAGGGTAGAGTAGTGCTAAGGCCTATGTTTCAATTTAAATCAGATTGAGATATATAATTAGTATAAAGTACAGAAATTTCATACATTTGGGGGCTAATTATATCTTATTTCAAAAGTTTTTATAATTATAAAAATCCTGGATTTTTCATTGCTCTTGGATATATATTCTTTGTGGTTGTTGAATACATTGCAATTTGCAAATGATACATACTTAATGGAAGGGATATATCCGAGAGGGAATTTTTGTAATTTTTTTAGATGGTAGGGAATTTTTAGAGATTATGATATCTTAATTTGTATATTTATATAATTTTTCCATAGTTTTATTCAACATACAGTGTGAGAATCACAAATAAGTTTTGATATATGTTTCAGTGGTAGAATCAATATTTTAATTGATGGAGTTCAAAATATGAAAAGTAAACATGCGAAAAAGTCAAAGGAGGTTCAACATCTACTATATATAAATAAGAAATAATTTTAATCATGTGTAAATCATGTAATTTTTTTGTTGAAATATATTTGAATGGACCCCCTTGACCCTAAATATACTCGTCAGTTTTTTTCGTCGAATTAATTTGACTTTTCGATTTAATTTGTTCACCCTAACTGATAGCATAATTTTTTTCTTGAGGACCATCATAAACTTAAAGGAGACTCTATGGATCTTTAGCATAATTAACATTTCTCTTCCTTGGTTTCATAATATGATAACTAGCTTTATTAATTAGGTCAATATTATTGTTAGAACTAATGATATTTACTATTTCATATATTAAAAGTCAGTTTAATAAGGAACAATCATCAGGGATATCAAAATTTAAAATCTGAATTACTTAACCATTTTGAAATCAAAATTTGTATAGAGATTAAAATGTACTAAAAGTCTAAAACATAAATAAAAAAGCAACAACATAACATATATACTAAATTAGAACCAAAGTTATTAAATAGCAATATATACGTAATTATACAAAATGTAGGATATTTATTTCCAAAACCACATTAGACATATACACAATAGTACATTGACACTTCATAAGAAATACGGCACCATGCTTCAATATTGCTAGAGATACATATCACTCTACCTCAACAAAACACATAGAATTTTGTCAATCGAGTGGAATTTATCTTATTTATTTACGATTCTATTTTCTTGGACCATTATAAATGATCGTGTAGGCTTCAATTGTCAAAAATCGACACACTTGAAATGTAACATTCACTCAGTGCATCCCAGGGATCTTCTCCTTGATTTTCTCCATCATTCCTTTCTTTTCGCCCCCTCCGGCTTCACAGGTGGAAGTCGGAGTAGGAGTAGGAGTAAGAGTAGGAATAATAGTTTGTACACCTTCGTCAGTGCCTCCGGTCAACGTCTCTTTAATCTTCTCCTTTATGCCCTTCTTCTTCCTCCTCCTCCCTCCTTCTCCATCATCCTCAGACTATATGTTCAATATCAAATAAATATCACATTAAATAAGAGTAGTTCTAACTTTTTAACCTTGCACATGATAAAAATTACTACTACGTATGTCTATGTATTACTCCATAAATTAAGATAGTCAAATAAATAAATGGAGCAAAAGAAACAGTTACTTCATCTATTTCTTTTTATGTGACACTTATTTTGTTTTAGTTTATATATGTATCGGAAGAAATGATAATATGTTTATATTTTAAAGACATAAATTCAATATTAAATTTCTTAGTCCATCCTTAATTGAGCGTACTTTTTCTATTTCAATTTATGCATCATATTCTCATTTTTATTTTGTTTCAAAAAATTGTCATGCTTTATATTTACTATATCTTACCTGACATGCTTAAAACTAAAAAATTTAAATGACATTTTAATAAATCAAGGTCATGAACTACATGTTCAATCGGTCAAACTGAAATAGATAAAATAATTAGGGAGAGTATGTTTCTATAGGCGACATAAATATCATGATAGGTTTAATACATCTTCTAATAGGGAAGGGATTTTGACAAAGTCAAAGAATCAATCTTAGACCGATAAAGTGAAAATTCAAATAATCAACCAACTGAACTAAAATTTCGAAGAGATCTAATACATCAAGTTTCAAAAGTTTTTTTAAATACAAAATTTAGTGCCCAATCAAACAATTCCCGATACAATAAAATAGAACAGTACTATATTGTGATTTTGTACATAGATAAAAACTTACAGAGCTTGAACTAGAGCTACCGGAACGACGAAGTTGTTGTTGTCCTTCGTCATAGTGATCTTTCTTCATAGTATCAGAGCATGTACCAGCAGGGGCGAACCCCATAGCTATACCTTGGATTGCATTGGGTTCATCAATTTGATGAACTCGATTTCCATGTTCATCAGTTAGGTGCATTTGGCCTTGGCTAGTTCCCTTATGTGCCATATTTCTCTAATCAAACACAAACTATGTAATTTAATTTGAAGAAGTTTGATAGTATTTGTGATTGAATTTGCTAATTAGATTGGAGACTTTATATAGGAAAAAAGGAATACAAGTGTCAATTGAAAATTGGAGTAAAGGATTTTAAGGTAAGAAGAATGAGGAAGAAATCATATAATATATATAAGACGTGTGTAGGCAGAATTAGATTTTTTTTTAAAAGTAGATGGAAAACGATTTATAACTCAAAATTTTCAAACTGGGACATCCCATCATAGTGATGGTATACAATTTTTATACTATCACTACTTATAGATATATATATTTTTTTGGTAAGTACTAATAATAATCTGGTCAAATTGTAACCAATTTATCATCAGTACATGTTATCACTTATCTCTATTTATAATTTGGCGGGATATTGTTCGCTTTGGTTTAAATTTGTATACTTTTTCTCAAAAGGTCTCACATAATTAAGAGATCTTGCACTTTATATAAAGTTTCTCAATCTTTTCAGTTATTATTGTGGGATTTTGTTTACACCGCACCTATATCATGATCTTAGTATTTTATGGTAATTGAAGCTCGCAATTACTACCTTATTTTTGTATGTGTGCGTCTCTAAGCTTGTATATATGGGGAAATCAATCGAGCCCCACATAATCATTTGCCTTCATTATACTCGTCCCTCTTAATCTAAACTTTGATACGAGTTGCAGGGCTAAATTAACTCAAAGATACTCTTAACATATTGTGGAATATTGTCTGCTTTAGACAAAGCTCGCACGATTTTTTTTCAAAAGGTCTCACACCATTTGAAAGATCATACACATATTACACCCTCCTGTTATACTATTTGGTTTTTGTTGACTTGACACATCTCTTAAGAAAATTATAATTAGAGATATATTCTACTAAACTAACTTTATTAATGAAAAACAAGTAAAAAAATTCTTTTGATTCTGCTTAAATGGAAAATCTATTTTTAATGTAGGGGCAAGTAAAATAACAAAGCGAAGGGAATGTGTAACTTCCCAAATTTTTTTTAAAACTTATCAATGTATAACTTAATTCTCACACTAAACGTTACTCATAGTGTAAAACAAACTTTGTAGTATCAATCAACATTTATGAACTTAGATCTATATGGAAACAGAAAGATCCATTTTAGAATTAATGGTATACTCATAATTTTGGACTCTGAATTAAACCAGAAGATTTAATTAATTAGCCTCAAACGTGGCATAATAACGAGGATTACATATATAAGCTGACTTAGATAATTGTTGCTAATAGAAATACAATATAGTAGTAATTATATATCCACTCCACGAGAGATGGTAACAGAGGAAATAACCTACAAGTCATCCTCCTAATATAAAATGTAGGTAGAAAATAAGGATAAGCTCTCAATCCTTTTTGACCATTTTAGTGTATAAAATGTTGAACTACATGGAATTTTGTGTGTACTTCAAGTAGAGATAAAATAATTTTTTTTAAAAAATTTCCATTCAGTATCTACTATCTATCTTAGAGTCCGACTACATTTGGATTCACGTTAAAAAATCTCATATTTGAGGTTAAACCATTCTCTAACCTCTGATTAAGAATGAAAAAATACTTACCTCTCCATCACAATCGTTATAGCTAGAAATAAAGAGATTGTGTGTGTTTACCCTAGTGATGGCAAATGAGGGGATTGGATAAAATTTGGGCGGGTTGAAAATGGGTCAACATAAAATGGGTAATAATTCAACCCGCTCATATTTCATATGGATAAAAATGGGTTGGGTAAATACAAGTTCACCCATATTTTCATGAGTAAATACTAAATAGTACTTTACTTTAGAATTAAATATGGATAAAATATTTTAGTCTTTTTTAGAGGCAAAATGTTGAAAATATTTTATTTAGTTTTTTTGTATCATCAAAGTCAGAAAAAAATTCCTATAACTTTTCAATATAAAATAAATTTATGTAATAACAAGGAAAAAATATTTTTAATTTCAAAGAAATTAATATTTTTATTTTAGAAGTAAAGAATGCTTAAGGCACTTTACGCAATATCAATACTAATACATGATTTGCTTACTTTACACTATTATTTGTTATCCAATTTAAAATTAAACAAATAAAAAATATAATTATAATTAACAAAAGAAATGTACATGTAATATAGTATATATTTTTTTTGGAGGGTCAAAGATTTTACCTTTTCAATTATAGAGAAGAATAATTAGAACATAAAAAAGAATAGAAGTTACAACACATTTTGATGATATCATGAATTTTGAGTGAATAAAAGTTGAAAGCTTAACCCATTTGGCTAACCCATCTTTTACCCATGAATACTCATATTTCTATGGTTTAAATATGAAATATGCATATAAATCCATATTTTACCCATCTAAAAAATCACTCACCCAACTCATTAAAATATAAACGGGTTAGACGGGTTGCCAAAATATGGACTCATTTTATCGACACTAGACTTTACCCTATCAGTGAGTTGTAATTTGTACTTCTATTTCTTCTTCTTCTTCTTTTTTTCTTATTTAAAATATACGTTTAGTTGGGTGTTCCAATTGTTATAACAGAGGTATCACGGTATGTGTAATAATAAAAAAAAAGGGAAAAAAGATAAATATATTCCCGAACTATCGTAAATGGTATGCAGATATTCTTTGTCATACTTTTGGGACATTGGTGCCCCTATCGTCTAAAAACTAGAGCATATATGCCCTTCACTCTAATGAAAGAATAAATAGGGACACGTGACACAATCTTATCTGTCCATCCGATATTTAATAAATGTCGGATCAGTGGATAAGCTTATGACACGTGTATGTCCATTAGTATAAAGGGTATATATGCTCTAGTTTTTGGATGGCAGGGGCACCAATGTCCCAAAAGTATGATGGAGGGTATCTGCATACCATTTACGATAGTTCGGGAGTATATTTATCCCTTTTCCCTAAAAAAAAGTGAAACTATATGTACTTACTTTTACCAAATCAAATTCTTAGTAAAGAATCGAGTGGGCTGAACAAACTCCGATACCCTTTAATTTGTTTCATATCAAAACTATGATATAGTAGATGTTAATCGTTTTGAGTGAATTATATTAAAAAATTTAAAATATCAAAAACAAATCATATCTATAATTTGAGATGATTTAGAGGTGATTCAAGTTGATCGAGATTGAATAGTCAATACATACTTCATGTATAATTAAACTATATTCAGTTTTTTGGATTGTATGATAATGTATAGTCAATGTATAGCTCATGTATAAGTAAGTTATATTGTATAGTCAGTGTCTACGTTCTATGACTTTTAGCCAGCTATATTATATAATCAATGTATATTTTCTATGACTTTTGGCAAGATAAATCATATAGTCAACGTATATTTTCTATGATTTTTGAGTTATAACTTTTTTATGTAATTTAAATTATTTATATCAAAAATAGGAGTGCACAAATCAAAATATATATTTCTATTATATAGAAGAGCCAAGTTGAGGACGACCAAGGGCAAATTTGTCATTTCATAAAAATTCTAGAATGTTTGTTTCTATGTTATGGCATCAAAAAAGTGGTAATAGATTTATAATGATAGTACAACCAAATATATTTTTCTAAATGTCATGTGTATCCTAATGATATGACATAATATGGACCCATATTTTCAATCACATTTTTATATTAAGATATTATAATTTATTTTAAGTAATATTCTTCTATATCATAAAATAAAGAACTTCATACTATGAGGTCACATAAAAATATTCATATCAATTTTTCATAAAACATCAAATTTGTAAATTTTCATAATAAAATAAATTACATATTATAATAAGTAAATAAATTTATAGAGTGAAATTTCTTTACACTAATATGTCTATGACATAACTTATTTAAATGTATAGTTTGTACTCCATTTTTTTCATAAGTAATTTTCAACTATAAGTAAATTATATCTTATAATTTTCATGTTGTTTCATTATGACAATTAACATTTTTATTATATAGAAGAGCCATGAGAAGGACAATCAATGGCATTTTAATAATTTTAACATCACTTAAGAGTAAAATAATAATTGTGTAATTAGTGATCAAAATGAAAATCTAGAAGAATTCATATATTGTATGTCTTTACTTTTGTTATGAGCCCATAAAGATATTTTTGTAATTTTGTTAAAATGAAGAATTTCCATTAGTTAACTTCTTACAAACAATAATAAATGCTAAGCTTATTTTGACATATTTTAGAAAGAAAATTTTGAACTAATTTAAAATAAAGTGTGTTTGAATAGTTAATATTTTGTTCCTAAAAATACTTTAAAGGATATTGTGTAAACATATTTTTAATATAATAAACTATTTAACAGAGAAAATTTGACAAGGAGAAAGTTTAACATTCAAATTCTAAGGAATATTAAAATACAAACTAAAGAAAAATGAGTAGTTAAAAAATAAAGAAGAACGACAAAATACAAAGTCAATAGAAAAGGACTTTGTTGAGAAATATAGAGGAACAAAAAAACTAAATAAATAAATAAATTAGGGGAAAAAAACCTGAAAAAGAAAAACAAGTATATTGGTTATTTTGTGGGGGGTAAGATTTAAAGTTTTCTTTTACGGCATGATATTAAGAGTGTAGTATCAAAAAAATTTATTAATGTAATCTAGAATATAACATTATGATAATTGTTATTGCATATAGAAAAAAAATGCTTTCATGATTGTTTTTATTGGTGTGGAATTAGAAATAATTTTTTAATAAATAATTTCAATATTTAGAATATAACATTACGATAATTGTTATTGTATATAGAAATAAAGTTGCTTTCCTGCTTGTTTTTATTGTTGTGGAGTTAGAAATCCATTTTGATTAGTACTTTCAATATTAAAATCAAAATAAATAGAAGCATTTCTATTTATCGAAGACAATAATAAAATGTATCACAAAATTCATCGACAAAGCAAATTACAAACACAGTATACTAAAGTTGAACCAATAGAGATTTGAAAGACTTTGAATCGATCTTTACAAATTGGTTGATCAATGATTAGATACCACTTGTGAAATATATG